TGGGTGGGCGCCTGGCCGCCGCCCCGGGGCGAGCGGGATGGCGCTTCCTGAGTCCAGGGCCGGCGGGGGCTGTTTCCTGCCCTGTCCCACCGCAGAGAACAAAGAAGGTCCAGGGCACAGGCCGTAGCCCCCCCGGGATCTGGCACCGTGTCGCGTGGGGCCTGTGGGCAAGAGGCAGCCACGGGCCACCCCTCCCGCCCTCGCCCGGCGCTGTCTGCGCCCACGCTGGCCCTGGCACCGCCCGCCCGGGGGCTGCTGCCTAAGGGAGCGGTGGTTCCTCTGATGAGTGAGATGCCAGCAGCAAGGGCAGGATTGGGGGGCAGCAGGCGAAGCCCGTAGCCCTGCCCCAGACCTGGCTGGTCCTGGGAGTGGCCCCCAGGGCCTGGCGGTGAACAGGAAGCTGCTTTTTGGTTTGGAGAAGGAGGAACCCCCTCCTCACGTCTGTTTTGTTTGCTTTCTGCCCACGCAGGTGTCCACCCCCCACCCCCCACAGTGGGACCCTGAGGGTCAGGCTCCCGCCCACTGGAGCAGGCACAGCCTCCGGGGGCCCTGGGAGGAGCCCTCCCCGCCCGGCCTGGCCTGGCCCTGCGTCCATTGCCCAAGGCCCCTTTGGGCGTCCCTGCCCCTTGCCCCCCCTCCCCAGGTGCTGTTTAGCTACAGAAGCTGCCGGGATGAGTCAGGGGAGGCAGGTGGCCACAGAAGTGTGGCCACCCTCTGGCCTGGGAGCACGTGGCCCCGTGCCGGGGGGCGGAGGCTGGAGGCCAGCCTTGGAGGGAGGCCCGGGCTGAGGTTCTTACCTCTCTGCGTGGTCATTAGAAAGATTATTTTAAAGCTCCTTGATCTTTCTTTGCCTCATGTCCTGACTTGATCCTCTGGAGGGGGGCTGTTGCCCGCGTGGCTGCCCTGACTGCGGGCCCGGTGCCTGCTGTCCTGCCCGGCTTGGCTCAGGCAGCAGGAGGACGCCGGTCATGTCACTAGCCGGGTGCAAGGCCCCTCCGTCCCCACCTTCGCGGCCCCACTACCTGGAGGCCCCGGGAGGATTCCTCTGACTGAGGTCCTTAGTCGTCACAGCACACGGAGAGAAACCGAGGCACTGCTCAGTGACCTGCCCACGTGGGCCCAGCGGGGCGTGACCCCCTGAGGCGGCCTCTCCCCTTCTCCCCTGCAAATTCCCACCTGCCTCCCTGCCCCCCATGTTTCTTCAGGAAGCCTCCGAGCTCCCGTAATTTTGTCCCCTGAGAAGTGAGTAAGGCTGAACAGTAGGGCCCTGGGGCCACCCTGCTGGGGTCCTGCCTCAGTTTCCTCATCTGTAAAGTGGGGCTGAGGACCTCCACCCACAGCAGGTGCTCAGAGGACTCAAAACAGGTGAGGAGTTTTTCATGGGCCTGGTCAGTGCACCAGTCACCTGGTATTGTTACTTGTAAAACAAAAGTGTGGAACAGAGGTTGGTGCCAGGCGTGGCATGGCATCCCAGCGCCTCCCCCTAGCTGGGTGCCCTCAGGAGGCCTCTTTGCCTCCCCCTGCCTCAGTTTCCCATCCCTGAGCGGGGAGGCAGTAGCACCTGGCCCACGGGGCCGTTGTGGAGGAGTGAAGGCAGTAGACGGGCTGGCCAGCCACTGAGCAGGTGTGTCCCCTTTCCCCGCAGGTGCACCTGCAGACGCAGCAGGAAGTGAAGCTACGCATGACAGGCATGGCACTGCAGGTGGTGCGCTCGGACGGCATCCTGGCGCTCTACAACGGCCTGAGTGCCTCCCTGTGCAGACAGGTACCTCCGGGGCTCCCCCCATGCCAGGGCAGCCCCCCACCAGGGGCTCCCGTAGGTCCTGGTCCCCGAGCCCATGCTCTGAGCAGCCCAAGCAGGCAGAAGGGGTGGCTGACGTCTGCCATGCCTGGACTCAGACGTGGCTGTGCCTCCTGTCCACCGTGGGCACCCGTGGGCATCTTTCTCAAGGCTGCTTGTGAGGAACGAACCTCAGGGCCCCGGGAGCAGGCGACCCTGGGTGGGCACAGGGCATAGTAGTGTGGGGTGTGCCGCCTTCCACCTTCCACAGGGTCAGCCCTGTTCTCACAGCCAGCCAGAGACCTCCACTTACAGACGGGGAAACAGGCCTGGGGAGGAAAAGAGGTTTACTTGTTGGCCGTGTGGCCTTGGGAGGGCTCCTCACTGTCTCCGTGGCCCACAAGTGATGGCTGTGCCCCTGGCCCACTGGGGTGGGGAGGGCCAAAGGGTAGGGCTTGCACCCAGCACTGTCCTGCCCCACCCTCCCCAGATGACCTACTCCCTGACGCGGTTTGCCATCTACGAGACTGTGCGGGACCACGTGGCCAAGGGCAGCGAGGGGCCCCTGCCCTTCTACAAGAAGGTGTTGCTGGGGTCCATCAGTGGTGAGTGGCCGGGTGGGCAGGGGGCTGAGTGGGGGAGGAGGTGCTAGCGGGGGATGTGTTCAGGTGGCACCACAAGGACAGCATGGACATTGCCTGTGGTCACATGTGCGCTCTGGGGTCTGTTGCTCCAGGTTTCATCGGAGGCTTCGTGGGGACCCCTGCAGATATGGTCAACGTCAGGTCAGTACAGCCCCCAAAGGTTGGGGTCTCTGCTGTCCCCTGACGGGGCCAGGGCTCAGCCTGGGACAAGGCACTTGGACCCAGTTCTGGGCATTGGGTGGGGATGCCCCAGAGCCTGTGGTGGACAAGCCGACAGAGCCCTGCTACCACCAGGGTCTGGGGGGGCATGGGGACCCCCACCACCCCCTGAGCCCCTGTCATCGTTTCAGGATGCAAAATGACATGAAGCTGCCCCAGAGTCAGCGCCGAAAGTGAGTAGTGGGGCCAAGTTCTGCCGTTGGCTTGTGGCTGGGGGTGCAGGGGGACCAGGCCAGGAAGGCCCCCAGCTGCTATACGGAGACTTGGCTGGGACACCAATAGGCCACCTGGGGCAGGGCAGGGTGGCTGGTGGTTTTCAGAAACATGCAGTATGCAGGTGTGTCCTGGGGTCACAAGGGGACCCCAGCACCTCTGATTCCTGTGGGGAATCTGGAACAGGGGCTGGGTGGCAGGACCAGGCCACTCACTGTCTTCTCCCTCTGTCTGCTCCTTGCACATGGAGGCTGGTTTAGAAGTTTGAGTTTGGGCCTTTCAGAGGGTTTGGAGCTAGGATGTTTTTACGATAAAAACATTTCTCATGAAGCCTAAGACACTGTCAGCTCTGAGGCTCTGTTTATGGACTGACACTGCAAGTAAGCTCCAGGTGTCGGTGTCAGTTCAGGGTGAGATGTGCTCTGAGAGAGCCCATTGTCCACACTCTGGCCAGAGGAGAAGGCGGGGATGGGGAGGGGCCAGGCTAGGCGTCCCATCTTCCTGTCCTCGGTAGGAGCCCCACACAGGGCCGCCTCGGGGCTAGCAGCTCCCCAGAGGGGCTGGTGCCCAGGTGTTTTCTCGTGGGTCTCGGGCTCTCGGGGTGCTGAGGTCCCCTGAGGGAGGAGACCGAGACCCCCCTGAACTGTCGGAACTGGCCGCTGTTCTTTGGCTTCTGTGATCCTTCTTTGAGGGTCTCCTGGCTCTTCCTGGGGAAAACCGTCCCAGGGGAGCCGGTGGTTAGGGGGAGCCTCATGTGGGCCCGTTCTGTGTCCCCGGCAGCTACGCCCATGCCCTGGACGGCCTGTACCGTGTGGCCCGAGAAGGTGAGGAGCAGGCCCTGTGCCTGGCAGGAGCCCGGGGCAGCCTCCAGCCAGGAGCCCAAAGAGTCCCCAGGAAGCAGAAGGGGGCAGGGAACACTGTCCAGAACCTGGGGGGAGCTTGATAGATTTGGGCAGATGCCCAACCTTCTCCCTTCCTCTGGCAGAGGGTCTGAGGAAGCTGTTCTCGGGGGCAACCATGGCGTCCAGCCGAGGGATGTTGGTCACGGTGGGCCAGGTAGGGCTTCTGCTGGGGGTGGGGCTCTTTGGGGAGCGTCTGGGGGTCCCTGGCCCTGCCCCAGCCCTCCTAGAGGTCACAGAAGGCGGCAGTGGCCACAGAGCACAGGTGGGCACTGGGGAGGTGGGCACCCAGCAGGGCAAGTGTATGACCCTGGGCAGGCCCCTCCCTGCCTGGGCCTTACGTGTCCACCCAGCTGCAGGACTGTGTAGGTGACTGCAGAACAGGTACTTAGTCACTACGGGTGGTGTCACTGTGGTCCCCTGTCTGCATTCCCCTGTCTGCATTCCCTGGAACCAGGGGCCGTCCTTCAGGCCCTGACCATCCCTGTCATGTCCACAGCTGTCCTGCTACGACCAGGCCAAGCAGCTGGTCCTTGGCACGGGGTACCTGTCTGACGGCATCTTCACTCACTTCATTGCCAGCTTCATTGCAGTGAGTGCTGGGCGTGGCGTGGGTGGGGTCGCTGACCAGCTTTGGGAGGCAAGGGCCAGGGCTCAGAAGACAGGAAGCACCAGACAAGTTGGTGGACGTCCCTCTAAAGTTGGTGGGTGCCAGGCCGGGATTGCTTGCACGTCACCCCATGTCCAGGCTAGAGCAGTTCTTGGTGTCCCCTTGCAGCCCTGGGTCTTGCAGCCCTTGGGACGCCTCCTGGGGGTCGGGGGCAGGCCTATGAGGGATTGAGGGGTTCCCAGACATCTTACGTGGCCGGCCCGGGGTGACACATTATCTGCCCCCAGGGTGGATGTGCCACGGTCCTGTGCCAGCCCCTGGACGTGCTGAAGACCCGCCTCATGAACTCCAAGGGCGAGTATCAGGTCAGTGGGAACCTGTGGGGGGTCCCTGCCAGGCGCTCTGGCTGGCGAGCCTGTGCCCTCAACCTGGGATTGGCTGACAGCTGCTCGCTGTCCGCTCCTAACTGCTTCCCTCCCAGCTGCCTCCAAACAGCCCGTGGCCCTTTGTGTTTCCTTAAGTCAGTTTCTTTGACACATTAACAGAGGCGGCAGCGGGGGCCCAGCGCCCTGTGAGCACCTCCTGGGGCTCCACGGTGCCCGTGGCATCCTCTGTGTCTTCCTGGCACCTGAGGCCCTGCCCCTGAACTCCCCCACCAGTGCGGGTGTCGGCTGGTCAGCCTGCCGCTGGGCACACTGGGCACACCCCCGGGGGCTCTGGTTTTGCCGTGTCAGCGGTCAGCCGACCAGTGGCAGGGCGGCCATGACCTTTTGCTCACGGTTTGTCCCGTGTTTAGCTTTGAATGTTCCAGGCCAGGCTGTGCGCTGGCCGTGTGGGCTCACACCCTCTCGTTGGCCTGCGGGCCGCCTGGCAGTGCTGTGGGTGGGGTTGCAATTTGTGCCTTTTGAGCGAGAAGCAGCCTTTCTTTTCACTGCTCGTTTCCTGCAGGGTGTTCTCCACTGCACCATGGAGACCGCGAAGCTCGGGCCGCTGGCCTTTTACAAGGTCCGGTGGGGTGAGGGTGGTGGGGT